CCCCAGATGGAGTATACCCCCCCACACACATAGGCGGAGCAGGTAAGGATAGCCCCAGAAGGCCCCTCCCTACCTCACCTGCTAGGCGGAGAAGCCCTGGGAGACCTTTGACTCTGAGACAGGGACAAGTAGCTCAGAGGGAAATGTCACTTAGGGGCTGGGGCAGAGTACAAAGCTCTACAAGATCTTTGACTTTGGATTCGCGAGTTTTTCAGCTGTAGTCTGATATGAGATGAAGGAAGGTGGCGGAAAGACCTAGAAGTGTTTCCCCCCTCAAAATGCCCTATACTTGGCCTTCTATGGTTTTGAGTTGTTGGGGTTTTTTGTTGTTTGGTACTAGGGATTTAACTCGGGCACTTATTATTGGGCTACATCCCCAGCTCTTTTTATTTCTTGAGACAGGGTCTCACTAAATTGCCTAGAGCCTTGCTAAGTTGCTGAGGCTGACTTTGAAATTGTGACCCTCCTGCCTTAGCCTCTTGGGTCACTGGGATTACAGGTGTGCACCACCATGCCCAACCAATGGTTGTGTTATAAAACATGCCTGGCCTTTCTTGATGGGCAACCCAGATGATGACAGGCTGTGGGGGGGACAGGACTCAAGGGGTTACTCCCCCACCCCCCAAGTAGGGACCTAGCATGGCTCTCTTGTAAGCAGCTATTGCCAGGAGACCATTCCGAACCTGTGCCTCTGCTGCCCCCTCATGGCCAAGCCAGGTGCAGTGGCCCTCTGGGCAGAAAGTGAGGAGCAGGAAGGACAGACAGACCTACCATGGAGACCATCCACACAGCCCAGCAGCTGAGCAAGAGCTTCCAAACTTCTATTAATGGTTGTTATCTAGCCCCAAAATGATACAGCTAGAGCTGTTTAGCTCCAAAAAAGGTAAGGACACAGGTTGAGGGGCTGGGCCACTAAAACCAAAAACAAGGACAGTAGGTTGAGGGGCCCTTCCAGGTCAAACCTCATGGTCACACTGGCCTGCCGCTTTTGACAGCCAAGGACAGAGCCATCCCTCCCACATTCAACAGGGACTGAGACTGGGCTCCTGGGAGATCTTTTCTGCAAGCCAAATGAGAAAACAAGGGAAGCTAACCAGACCGAGTGCTTTACTCCCAGCCAGGGCCTTGAAGGGTTGGGCCTGGCCAAGACTGTTGGTTCTCCAGGCCCCTCCAGCTCCCACCTCCACCCTGACCTTTCCAATGGATTCCTGCCACCCACTCCAGGGGAATCTGAGTCATTGTCAGTAGGGCCAGGAGGGGAGATAAGTCTTTGGCCACTGCCAATCCAGGAGGTCACAGACAGCACGCCTGGTCTGGGTCTGAAGGGCCCCAACAGGTGATTTCCAGCTTGGAGCAGGAGGGAAGGCACTATGCATTTGTCTCCCGTGCAGAGCTCTGGCCTCTGGAGTGGGCGGCCACAGTGGCTGCCCAAAAGGCCTGGCTGTCAGTGGGGCTCTGTGGACCCTCCTCTATAGGGCTTCTCTTCCACGTGGCTGGTCTGCTCCAGAAGCCACTGCCGCTCGGCCTCACTCATTGTCAGTCTGAACGTCACCTCCTGAAAGATGCTGCTCACAGCCACCTGTGTGAGCCAGAGAGAGCAGGACATTCGAAGTTAAGCCACAAGTTCCAGCACAACCACCCCAGATTGAAACCTGCCCACTGACGTCCTTACTTGTTTGAAATGAAGTTTCTGGAACATCCGGATGCTGGGTTCATTTCCTTGACCGATTTTAGCCTCAAACTTGGTCAGACCCAGCTTAGTCACTCCTCCAGAGGTATCAGAGAGAAGGGCAAGAGCACAGTGAAGCCCCCTCACTAGCACCCCCTTGCCCTCCTGGCCCCATCCGCAGTGGAGGCTCTTGTCACCTGCCCCTCACCCTCAAGTGTGAAGAAAGCTCAGCTGGGGCCTGACCACCTGTCCCCACATAGCCGCTTAGAATTCCTTACCGTAAGACATCATCAGAAGAGCAGCCTCAGTGCCAAAACCCTGACCCCTGCAGCTGGGCTCTACAAGAAAGAGTGACACAGCAGCTGGCACTAGGCCAGGGTACAGTGTGCACACCTGACAGATACATGCTCACTGAGTTCTCACCGCCCTGAAGGTGGGGTTACCACTACTGTTCTGCACCAGATTGCACCAGGAAGAAGTGCAATCTGACTCCAAAGCTGACCCCTACACTGTCATAAAGGTGAAAGACGGTCAGGGACCCCTAGGGGGAGCTGAGGACCAAGGTCCCAGAAACAGGAAAGACCCCTCCTATAGCATGGCAAGGACGCTCCAGAGAAGATGGATTATTTTGAAGGGTCCCTCACCCACCCTACGGGCTTAAAACCAAAGGTTCACACTGAAGCATAAGGAATAAAGTGACAAACAGAAGGAAAAGCCCAGGCTTGGATGAGGCCAGTCCACCCTAGCCAGAAGCTAGCTCACCGCCACTGAGCTCCCTGAGTGTCCTGAGCAGCTCAGCAGACTTCTGGTTTAGTAGATCTGAGGGCCAGGTGGAACAAACCTGCAATCATGACTTCAATCTCCCCCAGGGTGGGGTCTTCTACATCAGTGAGAAACAGGTTCACATCTCCTGCCATGCAGCTCTCTTCGGTGGGGACTGGCTGGGCCTGCCACTTCTCTGCATCCAGCACAATGAAGGTACACTCTAAGGGGGAAGGTAACAGGGCTATCACCTTTATTCCCCAGAGAAGAGAGATGAGGACAGTGTTCATGCCCAAGCCAGAGAACTACAGAACACCAGCCCCTCTGAGCCTGGGAGGAGAAAAGGGGCCCAGAGCTCCCTTCAGCTCATTACAAAGTCCAATCATTATGAAAAGACAGCCTTCTCCAAATAATGACTGTACTCTACAAAAGCAGGGGACCCAAGGGGCAGTGACCACATGAGGCTGTTGTGAGGGACATGAGGGCAGGGTCTAAATTTATAGGTAAAGCCCAAAATGTTTTACTTTCTCTAAATCCTTCCAAACCCAGTACAGTGAGTGGGGAAGAAAGGCAGAAGGGTCAGCCACAGGGACCAACCCCAGGAGGTGTGAGGGTATAAGGGCTTCATGCATTTTTTGGTCTTTTCACAAGTTTTTGTGGCCCCAGCAGAACTGGCTGGAGGTGAGAAAGGGAGGGAACCTGGAGACTGCCTCTCGAGCCAGCTGCCCCCACTAGGAGGGCCAGGCCTTCCTTACTGTCTGCATCTTCCCGCCAGCTGCACTGCATAGCATACTCCTGCTCCAGGGTCAGTGGCTCTGAGGCTGTCAAACGCTGCAGTTCCTCTGATTTCATCCACTCATGGTACCTGCAGGGAAAAGGGGATGGCCTTAGACACACAGAGCTAATTCAGAGGCATGGGTCTGACATTTTTTAAGGTAAAGAAATAGATGGTAGGGAGCAGGGCCCCTCAGGGCTAAAAGAGGGCTCACACAAGACCCAAGAGTTATGAAGGCAGTGGACACAAGCCCCAAGGCAGTCCAGTCTTACAAGAGAACAGTAAGAGGGAAAAGTTCTATCTGTCCACCTTCACATCCTGGCTGAGGGATCTTTGCGGAGGAGCAGTTTGAAACCAAACATTCCTCAAATTCCTAAGGGGAAGTATATGGCAAACTGACCTCAGCAAAAAAAGGGTAGATGGACCCTTATAAAAACAAGGCACCAAGGACCCCCCAAAAGGAAAACTCCAAGTAGAGGACACCCCCCTATACCACCACTTTCCCAATCTACTAGACATTTGCCAAATGCTCCCCATAAGAGTCCACACTGGCTTTTCAAGAAATGGAAATAATCAATCAGCTGAGTGTTCTAGAACAAGCATATGTTAAGTATCCAAGAACTGAGCATATCCACAGACACCATGGAATATCACTGATTTACAAATGGATGAAACAACAATTTTTCTTCCTTACACACATGAGAAAAACAGGAGAATGGGCAACTTCTTTCAGGTAATCACTGTCCTCCACTTGAGCTTTTTTTCCTGTATGTAATTATTTCTCACAACCAACATGTCTTCCCAGGAGCTACAGCTCGAGGGATTGGGGCTAAGGAAGGCCTCCTTGCTGTGTCAAGGAAAGTTTGTTTACTTAACCCTCCTGGGGGCTAAACTGCACTCCAGGTAAGGTGCATGGTTACCTAGGCACGTGTTCTGAAGTGTAGGGTACCAGGACCACCTTCTTCCCCAGCAACAAGGTGTTCTGATTCAACCTCATGGCAGCAGCCTGCAGGTAGGGGACAGCAAACACTTAAGAACCAGGAGTTTTTTCCCACTTACGGTGTGAGCCAAATCTCTCCTACTGGAGTGGGGCTAAACTGACAAAAGGGCCTCCTGTCCTTTCCTTCCAAACACGTCAAAGAACACCCACTCTCAAACTTCTTGCAAGAAAGAGAACTGATTTGGTTAAGAATTAAACAACCTTTGGCTCGCATCTCAGGGGCCAAGCATCGTCTGCCATTCCTGCCGGTCCCTTCCGTCTACCTCCCAGAACGTCGATCCATCAAACGCAAGGACCAAATCCAGATTCATCCTCAATGCTCCCATTACCTGCCCCAGTCAGGGACTCCAGCCCAGAATCAAATTCCAGCCTTTCCTTCAACCAACTCCCATGTCCTCCCTCGGGTGCAAGCCCAGGGGCTCCAACCCTCCCTCTTCCCCGCCCCCAGCCCGACCTCCCAGCCCACTTTAGTTTCAGGCCCCTCCCCTTTGTGTGGCGCTACAGGCTCCTCTCCTCGATTCTCCAGCCACCTGGGACCGGAACTGCCAAGCTCACACCCATTCCCCGACGACGAAAGCGTCCCCAGCAGCACCGGTAATCTGCCTCTCCCAACTGGCCACGCTTCCCCGCCCGGCCCGCAGCCGTCACCCCGCATGCGTGGCGAAGCGCACTTCTCACTTCCGCCACGCAGACGGCAGCCGCCAGGGCCAATTCCGGCCACGGCTCCGCGAGGCGCCCAATCAGCGCTCTGCGCCCCGCCCGAAGCGCGCGCCAGGAAGGTGGGTCCGAGCGCCGGCGCCTGCGCGTTGTGGGCACTGGTGCGGGACAGCTGGCGCTGGCAGCCGCACAGGGGCCGGAGGCGGCTCCCGCGCCCGCCCCGAACAAGCTGTGCGGCAGGTGTCGTACCGGGGGAGAAGGTGTGATGGGATGGAGGGGGCGTTAGACTTGGGGCTCCTCCAGCAGGGAAGGCAAAGGAGAGGCTCAGAGAGGGGCACTTGAGGATGGGGAACCCTAAGCAGGGTAGGAATGGCTGGTTGGGGGACGGGGAGTGGCGGCCCCGCTTTAAAAAAAAAAAAAGAGAGAACCGCAAGAGAGACATTGGGACAGGGAGTTATGTTGGACGGACCATCTGGGAAAGCTCCAGCTCCCAGCCATAGGCGAAGGTAGCAGACAGTTCTGTGGGCTGCCCTGGGTGGTAGTGAGCTCACACAGTTCGGGAATTAAGCGGGCACCTCCGAGGGTGTAAAGAACTCTGTTGGTGGGTGAGACTCAGTGGCTTCGAAGGCCCCGTAAATCAGTGAAGTCCAAGCAATATCCATGCATAGAGTAGTCCCCTGAGCAGCAAGTAGTCCCCTGAGAAGCGACTACCTAGATTTTCTCTGACCAAGGGAACCCTTCCTTCCGGGATGAGTCTTGTGACAGGTACTTAAGTCTTAGATAAGTGTTAATAATAAAAGGACAAGAAGTGGGGAGGGAGCAGTAGCAAACTTTACCCCACCCCTGTGTCAGCCCATCAGAAAGCTGAAGTGTACTCTTTTGTCTTAGGGAGCTGCAACAGCTGCTGCCCTGCGCTGAAGGAAACTCTACTGCCCACTCTTCCTAACGTTTTTTGGAGATGGCCGGTGAAATCACAGAGACCGGGGAGCTCTATTCTCCCTACGTGAGTTTTACCTTTAGAATCTGTTTTGCTCACCACAGTACTCCTGGCCTCTAAAGAAGCCCACTGCACTCCTGATTGCCCTGGTTTAAGTAGAGCCTGGTGAAAATACAATGGGAACTTGATGTAGCAGGAGCCACATTGCTGCTGTCATGTCTCAGAATATGAGTCATGGTCATTCCCTTTTAGATGCTTCTCAGAGAGTGTCAAGCTGAACAAAATCAACTTACTAACTCTCTATAATATTTATCTCAGGGCTAATACCACTTGTATTCCGTGCTATGCTTCAGGTGGACCATGATTGACAGTTGTTGACTTTGGGTGTTACTCATCTCAGCAGGTTGAAACTACTTTGGTCTTTAGATGAATTTTAAATTGCACAACTTTTATGGTCTTGGATGGCGAAAGAAGCAGCCAAATGCAAAGTCTTCCATTTGTAGCCTGGTCGAGTCTGCAATTAGGACAATTAGAATGATTGATTTCTCTCTGTCCTGAGACTGTGTTGCTCCCTCATTCCACCACCACCACTACTCCCGCCCCCACACACACTCAGTTTATCTTCTTTAATGTACTATCCAATTGGTCATGGTCATTACATCACAGAGCCTTCTTGGCCTGGAGCTCGGAGAGAATCATTTGAATAATCAGACAATTGACTCATGTTGCTATTAAGTATCCCAGGGAAAAGCAGCACTGCCCTAAGCAGCCAGAGCTTTCCTTCTACAGCTTACCTGCCTTACACAGCTGCTTTGCACCCACCTTTCTTGCCTGGGGATCCATCCTCTGTTTCTGCTAAGGTCACAGACACTAGCCTCATGGTGTGATAGGGTAAGGAAGCATCTCTGACCACAGGCAGAAGAAACTTTCCTCCCTCCAGGGTCTTCCTGTTGCATCTGTGCCATTCTCAGGTAGCAATGAAAGAGCCTCCTCACTTCCATAATTTACCTGGGGAAGTCTTTTGTGAACCCTGGAATAGAATGAATAGTGCCCCTCTCATTTGTGGAATCATGTAAAGACTCCCATTTTCCTATATCAGCAATGAAATGTCCATGCTATCCCTGAAGGTCACCACAGTCCCTGCTTTTTCTTACAATGTCTATGAACTTACAGGTGAAGAAAGAGTCATTTCTGTGAGTTCTGGGAGGAAGACACTGTGATGTGCCCCTATTTCTTGTGTCTCCAGTTGTTCTCGTTCTCTTCTCACTTGTCATCATATCCCTGCAGGAGATGGGAGAGTTAGGCCTGCATACTTCAGGGGGCTCTGTTTTTGTTTTTTTTTCTTTTCTTTCATTTCCCATGGGTTTTATTTTGCTCAGTCTTTGAGGGCCAACTCTGGGCAGTTGTCACAAATAAATGTTGTATTATTTTATCTTCCAAGTGAAGAGAGAGGTCAGGAAAAGCTGGGCAGTGATCAGAGTGAGGTGGTGGTAACCAGGCAGCAGTGGTCAGGGTTTTGAGGGAGAAGATGCTTTCTTCCTTCATCTCACTTGGAGAATGATTCTTGATTCCCTGTGAGACCAGTAGAACCTAAATAAGCTATAGAACTGACTTTCCTACCTAAGCTGCTCTAAAGCCCCGCAATCCCCAGCTCAGCACAGGGTGGGCAAAACCCTGCTCTGGCTTCCTTAGGAGACCAAGGTACTGGACACGTGGTTCATTAATGTACAAAACAGCCCATGGTCATTGCCAAGACACAGCCTCTCCTTAGTTCAGTATTGCCTCACTCCATTGTGAGTTCTTTTTCCCTTCAGAGGTAGGTAGTTTTCTTTAGCTTGACTTATTCTGCTTAAAATGTTTATGACAAAGCCAAGCTTCCCAGGAGGCTCAGATGCCACACTTTCTCAAGGACAGTGCTGGACCCAAGAACAGGATTCAGCCTTGTACATGTCACCATGAGTGATCTCAGGACAGACGTATCAGCTTCCCTATTTGGGGGGACCAGGAATGGCTCAGGACGAAGTGGTAGTTATGAGATCAGAACACAGGACAAGGTGGATCATGCCTGAGAGAAGGGTAGCTGCTGAGGATGCCTCTGGTGGCTGGCTGGTTCCTGCTGAAGACTCCAGGGCCCAGGGGCTGCGCCTTCTCCAGTTAATCCAGAACAATCTCGTCCTTGGGGACTGCGTAGGACCTTATTCCTCTGCTTCCTGCCACTCTTCCCAGGAAGTGGCCCCACAGAACTGTCACATGTCCAGCAGAAGAGAAGGTCTCCTTCCTCTTCTTTCTTCCCCACAAGTCCTCTTGCCCTGGCCTGTGGCTTAGCTCGGAGTTAATGCTGACCAGGACTGCTTTGGCCCTCCAATTGAAGAAGTTCCCTGTGAAGCACGCAGTGGTTTCTTTAGAAAATAGCAACAAAGCAAGACAAACATGACTGCCCGTTTCTGCCTAACAACAGATGGTTTATCCCTAATCAACTGCTTATAAAGTGTTAAAGCTTCTTTTCACTGAGGTTTATTTGAAGTCTCTGTTGGGCACACGCCTGTGTCTTCATGCCTGTTTTAAAGGAGTGGTTTTCAGGTGGTGGTGATCTTGCCCCCAGAGGACATTCAACATCTGGAGACACTTTGATTTTCAAGACGCTGTTGCTTGGGACAGAGGGAGCAGTTCACTGGCAACTAGCAGACAGAGGCCAGGGATGCTGCTAAACACCCTACAATGCAGGACAGGCCCCCACCACAAAGAATGATCTTGAACCCAAATATCAACAGTGCCCAGGCTGAGAAACCCTGACCTACAATAGGCCTTTGAACTTTTCCATGCCAAGACCTTCAGAGATTCCGGAATTTAGAGATGCTTCTTGTAAGATTTTTGCCTAAGTGTCTTTGTTAAGCCCCTTGCCCTCTCTTTATTTTCATCATCAGGACCATTTCCCACAAAGAAATGAGGCTGATGTCCCCTAGTAGTGCTGCTGCTTAGAGAACTGCTGAGCGGAAAGCAGAGCCGCAGGGTTCAGGTGCTTGGTGGCCACTGGGATCTGTTCTATTGGTGTCCTGCCTTGAACTCTCCGAAACATGGAACCCTCATCTCCTGCAAAGGGCTGCTCAGTCTGACTCCTGCATCCCTGGCCCTCCTCTGCCTGGCTCACGGTGCCTCAGCCCGCCTCTTGGAAGCTTCTGGAACATCCCCACTTCTTTCCCACCTTAGGTTGTTGTACCTGGAGGCCGTCTGGGTGGTGCCATCTCATCCTTCCTGCCCTCCCCCCCCCTTAAATGTCATCGCAGAGGTTTCCTTGAGCACTCTGTTTCCAGAGCTTTCCCGTTATTCCTTGTCACAACCCCTTGATGCTTTTCTTTAAGCTTCTCTCAAGCAGTGACCACAGTTTGTTTTCTTCCCCTCCTGAGGACGTAGCTCCGTGTGTGCCTGGTTTAGTCATAAAGTTAGCTCATTGTAGACATTCATAGTTGCTTGTGAGAAGCTGGAACTTGCCATCCTGAGGGCCAGCAAAGACCTGCAAGATACCTTGAGCAGGGTCCCGTGAAAACCAGCTGAGCGCTCTCCTCCAGGCCTTTTCAGACACCCTGAGAATGTGGAGAAGTGAGCACAGCCTGCTGCCACGCAGGCCTTGGGTTTAGTAGCAGGGAGGAGGTAAATGCACCGCACCTGAAAGCCAAGACCAGGTGTAAGAAGGCTTGTGCTCCAGGGATGCAAAGGTGGGAAGCAAGATGAGCTTAGGAGCCTGGGAAGGGCTTGGAGGTATAAGTAACATTTGAATGGACCCCAGGGGCTGAACAGAAGGGCAGGGGGAGGAGGCCCAAGAGAGCATGGTGCCCTGTGCCAAGGATAAATGCACTGTGGGCGGAGCTCTGTGCTCTCAGCGAGACATCCGCCCACCTGTCCAGCACTCAGGTGTCCACTCGACACCTGGAAAGCCTGGCCTCCTCTAACCCTTCCCCCTGAGCCAAGGGTCCTAAGGTAGTAGTTAACAATCCCTGTCTATTTTTGCTTTCTTTTTTTTGTTGTTGTTCATCTTTCAAAGAGTGGGAAGTGAAAATGAGAGGTGGGCAGGGCTTCCCAGAGAGGAAGGGTTTGTCTTTTTAAAGGTACCAAGACAGGTGGTGAAGCCATGGAAGATCAACGAGGGACCGTCGTGAAGGGCTGAGCCAGAGGGAGCCACAAAACACTCTTCAGGAACAAAATCAGTAGCACCAGGACATGAGGAGAAGGAAGGAGGCCAAGGCCACTCCGGGATGTCCAGGTGGAGGTGCCTGGCAGCAGCTGAACTGGAGCTCTGAAGAAAGGCAGAGACCACAGGAACAGTCTTCTGTCCAGCCACGAGATAAGCCAGACAGGTGGACTGAGTTCTTGAGGAAGAGGTGCAGAGAGGAGAAGAAACAGCCAGTGTGGCAGCAGGAAGGCCAGCGGGTCCTTGGTAATAGGCAAGGTTCAGTTTCAAGGTTGGGCATGGTGGCATACGCTGGAATCTCAGGGAGTGGAGAGGCTGAGGCAGGAGGATTGCAAGTTTGGAGCCAACCTGGGCAACTCAGCGATACCCTGTCTCAGAGTAAAAAGGGCTGGAGATGTAGTTCATGGTGAAGCGCCCCTGGGCTCGGCCCCCAGTAACACCAAAAAAAAAAAAAGAGGGAGAAGTTTCTGGAGTCCTGGAGAAGGAAGCTCCTTTACCAAGGACAGGAGAGAGCCCGCCTTTCCCCCAAGTTTGCATTCGCAAAGTCAGAGTCACGTTTTAAAGGTGTCAAGTAAGTTTGTAGGCAGAACGGAAGAGCTGGTGGGAAGAGAGGGTTCCAGGCTGGGATGAGGCCAGAGGTTCAGGTGCCAGCTTGGCCTCATCAAGGAGTAATGGCATATATTCCTAAAGGCAGCAGGAGCCAAGCACAGTGGCACACACCTATAATCCCAGAGACAGGAGGCTGAGGGACGAGGCAAGAGAATCACAAATTTGAGGCCAGCCTCTGCAACTTAGTGAGACCCTGCCTGAAAATAAAAAGGGGTAGGGGAGTCTGGGGATATAGGTCGGTGGTACGGTGCCCCTGAGTTCCAGCCCCAGTATGGGGGTTGGTGGGGACAGATAGGAAGGGGATAGACACTGATCTTTTGAACTGGGAGAGAGGCTTTGGCAGCCTGCATCACCAGGCGACTTTAGTCACCTCCACGGAGTAGCTGATGGAGCCCTCATCTGAGAGTGATGGGGCCAGGGGTCTGGGAGCTTAAGCGTTGAGCTTGGGGGCAGTTACTATGGGGAACACCCAGAAACCTATGTTGAGAAAGAAACGGACGTCGCCAGATCCCAGGTGAAGGGGCTGCTCATTTGCTGTGGGACAATCCAATGATTCAAAGGAAACATCTCCAGGAAACTCTGGCAGTTTGGCTCAGGGAGGAGAAGAGCAGGTGTGGCCTTGGCACAGGCTGGTGGACAGGCAAGACCCCGGAGGGGAAGGCCCGAGAAGCTGGGGCAACGTGTGCTCTGTGGAACCAGCTGACCGTGCGCAGGGCGGGGGTGATGCCCAGGTGGGGTGGACTGGAGGGCAGAGGCAGCGGGGGGTGGAAAGCACCCTGGGAGAGCTGGGGTTCTCAGAAAGGAATTTTCCAGCTGAGATCTTGGGAGAAGGAATGGTGTGACTGACTGAACTAGAGTCAGGGGCCGAGTTAAGTGTGAAACCTGGAGTCGCCCTGAGGGCACAGGATGAGGGGAGGTGTGACCAGGGCAACCTTGAGTTCCTGAAGCCCCTGTGCTATGCTTTAGAGGGTGGGTTTTGTGGCCTGTGAATCGTGCCTTGACTGTTTTTAACCCTGAAATCGGTGCGGAGGTGTGGGGGTAGAGTAAGGGAAGCGTGAATGTCGATGTCCCAAGGACAGTGGCAAGGACTGGCACAGGACAGAGTCATGGGCCAGCAGTTTGGAGAAGTTTCTTGGAGGTCAGCATTCCGTGTCCATGCTATGCCGAGCGCCCCCACCTGTCCTCAGAGCCTGGCATCTGTGACACAGCTCTGAATGGTTTGCAGTGTTGAGGGGGTGGCCATGAGGACAGCAGAGAGGGGACTGGAATCCAGAGACATTCTGGAAAGAACCCACAGATTGTGGCGCTTAGTCGTCTGCGTGTTAGAGCCCCAGCACCTGGATGCAGAGCTCTGCTCCCTGGGACCCAGATGTCCTCTGCCTCCCTGTCCTTGGAAAGGTCTTCACGGCAGTGTTGTCACCCAGGGCAGCCCTCGGGAGCTGTTGGTGGGCGAGACTAACCATTCCCGGGCTTGAGTGTCGCTCCTTGGGTTCCAGGTCGGGCTGGTGTACATGTTCAACCTCATCGTGGGCACAGGGGCGCTCACCATGCCCAAGGCCTTTGCCACCGCCGGATGGCTGGTCAGCCTCGTCCTGCTGGTGTTCCTGGGCTTCATGAGGTAAGGGGCAGCAGAAGGCTGGGGCCGGAGCTGGGGGAGTCACCCTACAGTCCCTATGTCTCTTCATTAGCGGGGCCTGAGTGGGAAGGTGACTGACTGCATGCATTAGGCACGCGAGTCCTGAGCAGGACCAGAGAGGGGAGTGGACAGAGGCCTCCCGGAGCACCCTGTGAGGTGAGTCGAGACACGATGAAGCCCGTGCAGGTCCTCTTCCCACGACTCACCTCTCTGCCCCATGCTTCACCACCGTGACCCCCGTCAGGGCACTCAGAAAACACCACCCTCCCCAGAAAAAGAGGGTGATCTGGGAAGAGAGTGTGGGGTTTGGAATCTACTTGACATAATCCACCAGGAAAGTGAAGGCCCAGTACACCAACACACGGGCCACAGTGGAGCCACCTGCCTGTGTCCCCCGTGGTCCACCCCCACCCCCACCTTCAGGGCACTGGTTGTGTGGGACCCAGCAGCTGTTGCCTCAGTGAGGGAGGCCACCAAGGCTGTGCTCAGGGGCTCCCCTGGAGCTCTGCAGCCATCTCGTGATGGCACAGGCTAAAGGACTTAGGTCCTGACCAGGCAGGACTCCACAGGCCAGAGGTGGAGTGTGACCCGGAGCTCCCCAGGAGCCCCTCCCGTCTCTGCGCCAGAGAGGGGACTGGAATCCAGCAACATTCTGCAAAGAACCCGCAGGTTGTGGCGCTTATTGTCTAAGCACCACAGTCTGCAGGTTGTGGCACTGTCCGTGTTTGTGGCACCCATTGAACAGAACACGCCCCAAGTGGCTGTGCCCTGTGGGCAGTGAGGGCGAAGGAGGTGGACGAGTGAATTGCAGAGTGACCAGAAGGTGATGAGTGGCAGACAAGGAAAAGCACAGTGTGGCGAGGGGTTGAGGAGGTGAGCTGACTGCCCAGGCCCCGGGGTCACAGAGCGGCACGGATACAGAAGTTTGAAGGAGAAAGAAGTAGGCATCGTAAAAAGAGTGAAGCAGAGTGAAGTAGTTGAAGCAGACAGAGCTGGGAGGGCCTGTAGGGACAGAAATGAGCCAGGCTCTTCCGTTTCTATGCAGTTCTTTTGGGGACCTTTAGGGTGAACCTTGGGTGCTGTTGGCTTGTTAAATACTTCAAGCTCTAGCTGCTAAGAACTCTGGAAGTCCTTGACCTTACATGACTCCGTCACCTTTAAAGGACCTTCAGCACAGGCAGCCATCTGAAGAGGAAGTGATTATTGGGGACCTCTAGCTAGGGGCTGCCATGGCCTCTCCTTGCTAAACCCATTTCCATTTGAACATGATCAGTGAGTTGGCTTAATGCAATCGTGGGAAGTCTCTATGCCCTAATTAGGATTGATTTTAGCTCCACTTCCAAAAAGAAGGGAGAAGCTAAGCCCTCAACATGGTCAGTTAGGCAAAATCACGAGAAACCTTTCTTGGAGGTGCTGGGGTGATTGGAATGGGAATCATGGGCCCAAATGCCCCCCACTGCAGAGGTGGAGGGGCGTGGGTTTGACTGCTGTGGGGCCCAATGCTCCACCAGCCACTGGACTGAAGACTGCGTGGCATCTGTTGACATCATCTGCACCGGAGGACACACGTGCAGAGCCGTGCTGACCTCAGGAAGAGGGAGACCAGTGTTCGCCCCAAGATGTTTCAGGGCAGGGATGGACTCATGCCTCACGTTTTATCAGCAGTGCCCCATATCCTGGGGCCTCCCAACCTCTGAGCTCCTGGAAGAGAGGAAAAGATGGTTTCTCCACTCTTGTCTGCCTTCTTGGCAAGTGTCTTGTGCTACGTCCCTGTCTCCCTTGAGGTTCGGGCCACAGTAGTAGAAACTTATTTTACTGTTAGGCACATTATCCTGAAAGCTAAAGTACTGCCAAAGAGAAAGGGGGACGGGTTCCAGAGCCACCTTCGTCCTCCAGCCCTTGGCACTGGTGTATGCAGTTGGAAGCTGACCACTGCCTGTGCCCTGCGGGGAGAGGTGAGGGCTGCCTGCCGTCCTTCCAGAAGCCCCCTGTGAATCGGCCTCCTCCCAGCTCGGGGCCCCTGTTGGTGCGGGCCATGTTGACCCGTGGCGCCTCCACCCAGCTCGTGCTCTCCCTTGAGCCATTTCCCGCCCATCAGCCTGTGTCACAGCCCCATCCTGTGGGTCAGAAGTGGATCCTAAACGTAGGCAGCCCAGAAAAGCAAGCACACGCGGCCTCCAGCGTGCACACACTCCTTACCAGGAAAGGCCCATCTCAGAACTTCTCTAGGGAACAGTTCTCAGAAGAGAGTGCAGGGCTTGTTGGTCTCGCCACTTCAAACCCCTACAATCTCCTCTCTGCAATTAACACGTGCCTCCCCCTCAGCTTTGTGACAACCACCTTTGTGATGGAGGCCATGGCCGCAGCCAACGCACAGCTCCGCTGGAAGAGGATGGAAACCCACAAGGTGAGTGTGTCCCCCGGTGGTGCCTCTGTTCAGTTGTGTTCCCTAGAGACAGTCTCAGCCACCTGTTGCTTTCCTCTTGATGTGTGAGGACTCTGTCCACAGCGCTGCTCCAGGAACTTAGTCCCAGGCCCCAGAGCTGCAGTGTGGCAGCCGCGTACAGTCAGAAAACACAGGCAGGGCTGCCCTCAGCCTCACAGCGCTGGCCCTCACTCCACACGCTGAGCCGCTCAGCCCTTGTCCCCAGGAACTATGCTGTGCTCCACCTGTTGAGAGTTTCCTAATTAGACACCTTCTAGAAAGAGAACAAAGGGAGTGACCCCTGCCCAGGTTTTCTGTACAGCTGTGTGCTCATTTCTTCTCCTTGGTTTCTCCTCTTCTCCTCGTGCACCCACCACCTCCCAGGAGGAGGACGACGACGACTCCTCCTCCACGGCCTCAGACAGTGACATTCTCACCCCGGACAGCTACGAGCGGGCAGAGAAACAGCCCATCCTGTCAGTGCGTAAGTCTTGGGCCTCCCGACAGGCCTCAAGCTCCTGGCTAATAGGGCTCCCTTTCTTTCTTCATGGTGACAGCCCACGGAGTCTCCCTGCAGACGTCCTTTGGCATTTCCTGCCTGAGGGTGGCAGTTTTGGGATCCCAGGCACAGGCCTGGCCCTGCTGGCTCACCTCTTGCTAACTAACGTGTTTGGCCTGTTACTGGGCTCTGTCTGGCTTCCCACCTCTCCTGCCGTTTTTGTTGTTGGGTGGTACCAGGGTGCTTTACCATTGAGCTACACCCCCAGCCCTTTAAATTTTTATTTTGAGGCAGGATCTGCTAAGTTTCCCAGGCTGGCCTCAAATTTGCAATCCTCCTGCCTCAGCCTTGCAAGTTGCTGGGATTACAGGTGTGCACTCTCCTACTATTATGGAAATGATCGCATGCCTGGTTCTGTGCCCTGTGCGCACTGAGAGAGCTTGAGTGAATGTGGTCCTGGCTCCACCCTCCCACCTCACCCCTGTACACACAGGCACGCGCACACACACACACACACACACACACACACGCACGCACCCTTGTCTCGCAGTCTCGTCTCTGCTCACCCTCTCCCCTATAGGGAACATCCTTGAATTTTCTTGTAAAATGTAGGCATGGGGCTGGGGCTCCGTGGAAGAGTGCTTGCCCAACATATGCAAGGCCCTGGGTTTGAGCCCCAGCACTGGAAAAAAAGGAAACCTTAGGAGAGTTTTCTCCAGAATCCGAGATCCTTGGGGATTCCTTATTCTGGGACTTTGCGGCACTCAGCGACAGTGCTTCTGGTGAAGAATCACCACCCTTCTTGTGCTTTTGGCTCCTCAGAGAGACGCACATCTCCCAACCTGTTTGAAATCACAGACCGGGTAGAAATGGGACAGATGGCCTCCATGTTCTTCAATAAAGGTAATAAATGCTTATTTGGGGGTGGGGTGTGGGGAAAGGGCCAGTGGTCCTTTACTGCAGGCCTGAGCCTTATAATGAGGGTTCCATGTCGCCTGGGGATGAGGGAAACCATGAGGAGGGGAAGGTTGTCAGCCTGCGGTCAGAGCACCTGCCGGATGCCTGCCCTGTGGACACAAATTTCCTTGGATGCCCCGTCCCTCTGTGTGAAGAACAAAGAGCTGGCTACCCTGATAGAGGCAGGGATCCTGGGCAGCTGTCCAACAGGGGAAGCCATGGAGGTGGCTGGCAGTTTGTACCTCTCCCAGCAGTTGCTCTGACTTGGCTCTCTGGCCTGTTCTGGCTGAGACAACACCCTCTGACAGTGGTAGGCTTTGCCACAGGCATGCCAGGGCATGTCCTCCCAGTGGCCAGCAGAGGGCGCCAGGAGCCCACGCTAGAGCTGGTTTGGGCACTGGAGCCACAGGGAGAGGAGGGAGGCTCTCCCTCTGGCCCTGCCTGCTCCTGGCTGGCAGTTGGCAACAACCTGCAGGGATCCGCCCAGCTCTGGTGTTGGGCTCCGGGGCCTGCCAGTGATAACGGCATGTACTTCCATGGCTAATCTTCTTCTTTGGGAAAATGAGTTATTAAGACTTTTGTTTTTAATGCCCGAACCTGTTAGTTTCCTTGACAGTCAGGCACAGTCTCAATAAATCCTTCTGCTTACAGCTGTCCTGGAAGATCTTGTGCCCCTCTTTCAAAGCCTGTGTGTGGAGTGGTTGTCCACCGGTTCTTGTGTGGCCTTGCTTTACTCAGAGCTGGGGGACTGTGGAAGCCAGTGTCTGCTCGCCTGCCCTCAGGACACTAAGCACTCAGTCTGTCATTGGTGGTGTGATTTGGTGGCTGGTCCAGACGAGGTGATTGTTGGCACGGGTTGCCCAAGGTCTAGTTCCACTCTCCCTCCTGGACAAGCCTCAGAGGATTTCCAGAATTCATCAAAACCAGCTTCTTAGCTGGACGTGGTGGCTCACACCTGTAATCCCAGAAGCTTAGGAGGCTAAAGCAAGAGGATCAAATCCAGCCTCAGCAACTTAGCACGGCCCTAAGCAACTTGGTGAGACCCTGTCTCTAAATAAAAATATAGAAAGAGCTAGGGATGTGGCTCAGTGGTTAAGTGCCCCTGGGTTCAATCCCTGGTAACAAAAAAAACACAACAACAACAAAGACCCTGTTTTCAGCCCAATTCTGTGTTTCTCCTTTGCTGCATTTCTGTCGCTCCCTGTACCACTGCGCTGAGTGAGCAGAGGCATTTCCTGACCCTTCAAAATGCAAACCTGTAAAATAAGTCACACATGGGGGGAGAAGAAACATCTTTTAAACCTCATTTCTCGTTTTCATATTCTGTAATCTGCCTTGATTTCTGTAAGAATTCTAGGAACCAGTGGTTTGGTTTGTTTTGTTTGTGGGGCTGGGGATGGACCCCAGGGCCCTTTGCATGCTGAGCAAGTGCTCTACCACTGAGCCACATCCCAGCCTTTTTCATTTGATCTTGAGACAAGGTCTCACTAAGTTGCTGAGGCTGGTCTCCTACTTGCCATCCTCCTACCTCAGCCTTCTAAGTAACTTAGGATTGTAGGCGTGCACACTGTGCCCAGCTAGTGGTTGGTTTTATCTCTGCTCCTGCTCCATGGACCAGACTCCTGGTTTATTCAAATCTAAATAGAAAACAGCATGTTTGTGTGGAGACAGCCCCACACCCAGAAAAGTCTCCTTGTTGTCCCCTGCAGGGCTTCTCAAGCTCCTTACTGTGGACGTTGGGCCAGATAACTCTCCTTGGGCCTGTCCTGAGTGTTGTGGAGCAACACCCCAGACTCCAGTTGTTAATAGTACCTCCTAATTGTGTCAATCAAAACCGCCCTCAGACATTGCCAAATGTTCCCCCGAGGTGGGGCGGTGCAGAATCACCTCTGTTCTGCTCTGCTCTGCTCTGCTCTGCTCTTGACTCACAGATCATCAGAGTGTCATCTTCACCTTTGGCAGGGCAGCCTTCCACAAAAGGCTCCCTTGGGCTCTCCACTCGTGTCTTGTAATTAGAAATGCCAAGCGAAGTCTCTGATGTCCTCTCGGGAAGTTCATTGATCCTCCCACTTTGTGTCTAGTAATGAAATTGTATTGATCAGGGAGGGCCAATGGCAGTTTATAAACAGCCAACAGTGGAGTCGTCAGCAGGTGGCAAGAAGGGAATGGGGAGGAGACGATGCTTTCCCACAGAGCAGAAAGGCAGGCTGGAGCCGGCTGTCCCCGGAGCCTGGGGCGTGAGTTATAGGCAGCCCCGGGGCCACTGAGCTTGGACATCAAGGCTCCCTCTGACATGTCAGTGAAGGACATGCCAACTAGTGTGCTCAGAAAGCAGATGCCGGGCGCTCGTGGCTCCTTTAGAAAATCATGCCTTCCTGGTCTTCTCCCCCAGAGTCCTAGGAGCAGAGCTGACCTCACACAGCCCCAGGAGTAGCATGTCCTGGGCTTTCCCCTGGGGACGCTGCAGGCTCTTGTAAGCCACGAGGATTGGAAGAGAACTGTCACTTCATTTTTCTTTCTGTCCTCAGAGAAGCCAGCAGCTTGAGACCAGAGAATCAAAAACTTGAGCAGTAGTCTGAGCAAGAATCTGAGGCCAGCTGTCTGGGGCCATAGCCTTGGGCTGGACGGCCCCGCTGCTCTTTTCAGAGCCTCTGCCCGCCCCAGGCTTCCTAGCTAGAATCCCCTGTGGAAGATAGCCAAGCATGGTGGGACACTCACCGTAGGAGATGTTCAGGCACTTGCCAGGGTTGGAATGTAAGTCTGATGGAATTGGGACGTGAGCCCTACATCCCCACCCCTAGTTCTCTGTGGATGGACCTGTAGCACACACTCCTGGAGTTAGCACTGTCCCTTGCCGGCACTGCTCTTTAGGAAAAGGAGCCTCTTGTGAGAACTGTCCCTCCCCAGCACACCAGGCCACCCTGGGCCAGCAGATGAAAAGTCATCAAATCTGGAAGGAGGCACTGGGTCTTTGGAATTGAAGGGCTTTTTCACTGCTGATTTCAGCCTTAAGGCTGAACTTTTTCCTGTCAACTTCTCTGTGCTTTGGTTGTTGCTTGCAGTTTCTTGTCGTAGAGCCCCGTGCTGGCTGCGGAGGGAGCCCTGGCCCAACACACGTGGGCATTCAGGCTCCTGATCAGGTGTCGTCCCCACCCCACACACACCCAGCCTGTCCCCAGGGTGACGGTGCCTCCATTCATCCTGGGCTGACCATACCACACACTAACTTTGTACCTGTCTTGCTTCAGAACCTCTCAGAACTCTGAGCCTCTCAACCTCTCACATGCAGGTCCCAAGCCAGTGTGTCTCCTGCCAGTGTCACAGTGTAGCCGACCAGCACGCGAAATGACCATGGAGCCCTTTTCCCCCCTTTTGTAAAAAATAAATGGCTTAGAGAACTAACTGCTATTAAGAAGGTGGAGGTTCTGTGTCGGAGAAGAGTACAGTGTCTCTCCAGCTCTCTGACCATGGCTTTGTTGCTTTCAGTGGGCGTCAACTTGTTCTACTTCTGCATCATCATTTACCTGTATGGGGACCTGGCCATCTATGCTTCGGCCGTGCCCTTCTCTCTGATGCAGGTGACCTGGTGAGTATCCCCTGCCCCTCATGCTGGCTGTAGCCAGTGGGCCGCCTCAGCCAGTCAGGCAAAGTGTCCAGCATAGAAGCCCCACACCAAGCAGGTCCCTGGTCCCCAAGGAAAGTGGATGTCCAGGGCCCTTTTCTACACACAGCATGGCCAGCTGTGCCCTCTGAGCTTAGGAGACATGTCCTGCATTGCTGTCCCCTTCCCTGCCCCAGGAAAGATGGCTTGGACTCCCACTGAGGGCTCCTGAGTTATAAGGAACAAGAGGGGCAGGTCCTAAAAGATGGTTTAGGGGAGTCATATTGTGGAGGGGTGGCTCTGTCTTTGCCAGCCGAGCAGGGCCACCCTGATCCCAAGCCTGCCACCGCTCTTCATCAGCAGCACCACTGACAATGACTCCTGCGGTGTGGACACAGACGCCAAGTACAATGACACTGACCTGTGCTGGGGGCCCCTGCGCCGAGTGGACGCCTACCACATCTACCTGGTGAGTGTCCTGGCCAGCCCGGGGTCGCAGGCCGCCCTGAGAGGCGAGCTCTGTAGGCCACCTTTCCTTGCTGGGAAAAGTGTTTCCCCAGAGAGGAGCCTCTGCCCGTCTCCACACGCTGGCCGCATGCTGGGCCTTGGCCCTGGCAGAAAACGGATCATATCATAAGGCTCTAGCTCCAGAGCATCCTGATGACCAGGCTTAAAAGTCAGATGTGGTTTGGACTTGGCATCCAGGTCCTTGTCAGCTCCAGGACCAAGCACCACTGTGGCCGGAACACAGGGTTCCAGGGACACTCTTTGTAAAGCTCTTGAAGAGCGCCTCTTGAAGAGGCCTCCCTGCTTGACCTTCCTCGGGGTCAGCTCAGGAGCACAGAGGCACTTGCTGGTCTCCTGATAGGCAGATAACACTGATCCATCTGATGGTGGCCCTGACCACAAACAGCCTCTGCAGACAGGAAGGATCCCTGTGGACACGGGAAGATGATGAATCTCCAGGCTCGTTCTTGATTGCTTTGTGCCGTGGTGTATGGGGGCAGAGCTGGGTGATGTGCCAGAGGGGCCTCGGATAATAGGACACGCACCCAGGGGGCAGCATTTATCTCTGCCCGCTTTGTGGGCAGGGCTCAGAAATGTTCCCCTTCAGCCTTTGCAGAGTCCGTTAATGTTCTCTGCTTCCTCTTGGTCGTCCTCAGCCCTGGTGCAGACTTCGTGTACTAGATGACACAGTTTGACAAGTGGCCACTTAGCTGGTTTGGAGGGGAAGAAGAGGCCAGGAGCAAGCTGGGCCATTCTAGCGGTGGCCTTTTGACTTAATTACTCCTGTCCTGGCAAGGTGTCCTCAGGACTTGCAACAGTGTTATTTGAGTCTGATCTTGTTCATCCCAAGTGCCTGCCCTGCCCTGCCCTGCCCTGTAGACCTGCTGAAGGGGCCTGCCCCTAAGCCATGGGAGAGGTTTGCTTGCCTCTGTGTTTCTGGAGCAGTGGGTCAGTGGTCTGTGCTGCTCCTCTTGCACGTTCAGCTGTGCCTTGGAATTTGTCTTGCAGTAGAGTTGTCTTGGATTCTCCCATGACAGGTCTGGTGGGAATCTGGTGGCAAGTTAAGTTGTCTGGGCCCTGAGGATGGAGGGCCAAGTCACCGGAGACCCAACCGAGGACTTGTTAACCTCTTAGCATTGAAGCACCTCGGGATTAACAAGGTCAGCTAAGGTATGAGTGCGTGTGAGGTCCTTCTGGATCTCCCCTCCCTCTGCATGTGGGCAGGGGAGGGGTGGAGGAAGGGCTCCAGGGGCTCCAGGAGGAGTGGCAGCAGCTGAGGTGGGTCTTTACGGGGAAGCTGCTGGAGTCTGCAGACCCGGCCCAGCGCACTCCCCCACAACAAAATGGACACGGAGCTCTGTGAGTGTCTGGGAGAGCTGCTGCCGTTTGCTTGGTGAATTATTTAGAAGCGTTATTATTGCCTTGTTAAATCGTTCCTATGAACCTCCTACATGATGGAAGCTCCCTCACTGAGTCTCAATAACTCTGACTGCATAGGAGGAAGCCCTCAGGAAAGCAGACAAGCATTAATTACTGCCATCGTCTCCCAGATATTGCACTTATAACTCATAAAGCTAATTGTCCTAGTGCCTGCAGATGCTCCAGACCTGGGAGGCCAAGGTGCAGGTCCCAGTGGAAAGACTTGTGACCCCCCAGGAGCCTGTTCCCAGGGCTGTTGGCCCCGTCGCCCCTGTTGCCCCACACTCTCTCTCTGCCTCCAAGGAACTCGAGGCAGAGGGCCTGGGGTAGTCTGGGAAGTTGCTTTACAGCTTTGCGTGTGACTTCAGGGTCCGTGGTCCTGCAGAACAGCAGAGCCTTCTGACCCCAAGTGCTGGTGCCTACATCTCTCTGAAGCTCCTCTCTCCCTTGGTGAAAAGTTGGGAATGGGGTGTGTCAGAGGTGTGGGTTTCCTTCCTCAGACCCGAGCTCTCCTGTAGGTGATGAGGGCAGGGCAGCTGGATTCTAGCAAGTGACCTCTTTGGGTCCTGGGAGGAGGAAAGCCATCCTTTCTTTCCTTGCCCTTGGTCACTCACACTCAGATATGCCATCCCTTTTGAAACTCCACCATGCCTCTCTCCGCCAACTGGTTCTGATTTTTCCGCTAGCCAAAAATGCTGGACAGGGCAGCAAGGGGGTAGACTAAAACACCCTCCTCCCACACAGTCATCTCTGTCTCTGGTAATATACCCCTGCCACATCTGCATATTTTAAATGACCCCTTCTTCATTGCTATCCTGGGACAGTATGCTCTGTGAGATGAAGATACAGGCTTGTATTGTGGCTTAGTTTTCAGAAAGTCCCCTGGAAGCCATCTCTCCAGTCTCCAGGAGCACACAGACGAGACTGCCTGGGATAAGAAGTGTCCCTGAGGCCAGGCTTTTCAGGAAGGGAGTTTTCTCCACCAGCAGCTACTAGTTGCCTCCCAGAGCTCTTGACCTTAACAAGTGGAAATTTCTACTTCCTCTATTTGCACCATGGACCCCCTTCTGCATCCCAAGATTCCCAGTGCAGCTGGTAGGAATCAGTTCATCCTTTCCTTCCCTGCAGTAGCCACGGAGCAGAATGCTGTGGGGTGGAGGGTTCCGAGTCACCTGCTTTACAGTCACCTGCTTTACATGGTGTCCCGCAGTAAGCTGGGCCCTGTTATTATACCCAAGGGTTTCAGGACCTGCTTTCAGCTGCCCTTGGGTTCTCAGGCCCCCGGCACTCACCCATCCTCTCCTCCAAAGAAAGTATTGGGAGGGCTGGGGCTGGGGCTCAGTGGTAGAGCACTTGCCTAGCCTGCGTGAGGCCCTGGGTTGGATCCTCAGCACTACATATAATAAACAAATAAAATAAAGGCATTCTGCTCATTTACAACTACAAAAAAATTTTTTTAAGTTCTTAAAAAAAAAAAAAAGGAAAAATAAAAAGAAAGGAAGGAATGGGGGGTTCAGAGCCTGAGCTCTTGCACAGGCCACCCCGCCCCAGGCTGGGAGCACCTTGGGCTCTTTCTGCGGGGCCATCCAGCTCTGATGGGAACAGAGTCAGGACTGGCATTGTGTTCCTTCCTCAGCCATGGTGCCCAGAAGCCAGGGACCCCTGGTATGGTGGTAGGAGTGTGTGCAGGGTCCGCCCAGAACTCAGGCCTGACGTGTTGCTGTCCCCTGGGGTCAGGGTGCTGCCAGCACTCCCTTATGCTTCCTTATTCCTGCAGACCTCCCAGCCTGCCGTTCCACCCCTAGCCCACTTTCCATCCCTCCTCCTAGAGTGTCAGAAGGAAGCACACGGGTCCTAGGGGCTCCCTGTGTGCTGTCAGCTTCTCACCTTTGGAGAAAGCTAGTGGCATCCACCACTTACAGGTGGGCAGGGCTGCCGGTCACAGGCAGCCCAGCCGGCTCTAGCCCAGCAGAGCTGCGAGCGCAGATGGCAGAGCAGAGCTTATCCTGGCTGGAGACCCGGCCACAAACTGGCCCTATTGAGCAGGAGGTCCCTTGTTGGCCACCTTGGGGCAGGACAAGGTCATCCTGGTTTGCTCTCCTGCCTTGAACTCAGGAACTATGAAGTCCACCTCTGGACACAGGTGACTTAGAAGGGGGTGCAGCCTGTAAGTGCCTAGCAGGTGCCCTGCCACCTCTGCAGATGGAGGGCATCTTTCCCAGGCTCCCTCTGGCAGCCCCTTAGAGAAGAGGGGTAGGGCGTGGGAGAGTCCTGCCCACCAGCTTCTTCCTAGAGGTGTAGGCCACCCTGAGATTCAGGCACAGGGCAGCAGGGAAGATGGCCCTTGGTGAAGGGCCCAAAGACCATGTTTTCTGCTTCCCCTTGGCTCTGACTCAAGCTGCAGTACTGGCCTTTGGCTACAAAATTCCAAACAGCATGCAGCCCCCCTTGTGAACCACATGGTTTCTTCCTAAAATAGTACTACTCAAGAAAATATCCTCTTCCTAAAGGGGTGGAGACGGGAGGAGCCCCCCCATGGTGACTAGTCCTCCTACCTGGGCTCCTGGTAACCACCAGTGACGTGGCATTTCTGATTCAGGCTTCCTAGTGGGGAACATTTCCTTGCACAGTGGGGAACACTGAGGCTCGGGAGACAGTGGCTTCCTCTGGATCCCAGAGCTAAGCCCTCAGCCTGGCCCTTGGGGCTCTTGCGGGGTCCTCTTGCCCTGTAAAGCAGTCTTGGTGCCCGCGGCACATGCAGGTTGGTGCTATCTGCACACACAGGTTGGGGGTGGCAACATCTATGTGCCAGCCTCAGAGCCCGACATTTGCCAGAGGTTGGGGCACTGCTACCTGATGTGGCCTCTGCTGAGTGCTCTGCGTCTGTATGCCCACCGGTGACTGTGCTGCGCCCTCTCCTTGATGCCCTTGTTCCCAGATGGAGAAGTGGACTTCGCTGGTTATTCATGTAGGATTGAAAGTAAGCACCTCTTCCCAAGGACATTCCCTCCCCTGCCATGGTCTCTGTACTTTCAACATCAGCCACTGTGCCCCAGGGCTGTGGCATCTGCTAATAAGTGGGTCACCGCTGCCATCCCTTGAATATTTATTCTTACCAGTTCTGGGGCAGGAGGTGGCCTGGAGGACCAGTGAGGAGGGAATCAATATGAACCCACACGTCTTAGGAGCAATGTGACGGCACAGGACATGGGCACTCCGGGGTCACAGTGTTGCCCATCATGGTGTGGTACACTCGACCCGTTTTCAGTGGCCTGCTGCCCCAGAGCAAACAGGTGAACACTGCCCCAGATCTGTGCACGAGAACCTGGATGGAAACGGGGCCTGGTGAGGCTGGAGCGAGGGCCCTCCCCAGGGCCTCTGACTCCATCAGTGGAGCTGAATCCAAGCGTGGGTCTGGGGCCCTTGCCTGGAGCAGGCACTTCCCTCCCCTGTGCGGTGCCCACCCTCCTGCCTGCCTCCCACGGGTTAGGACTCAGTCTGGTGCTAAACCAGAACAACTCAGGAGGGCATTCCCGGGAGGGG